AGTAACTCTATGTACAACAAAATGAAACACTGCCCAGTCCAGCACCATCTTCACAGTTGTTGCTGTTTGAGCCCATGGTTGCCAACCTATCTCTTTGAGGCTCTTCCTCTTTTTTCACTGCTATTTGCCAAACATGATGTCCATCTCCAGAGACTGGTCCCTCGTGATCACATGTCCAAAGTACATGATATGAAGTCTTGCCATCCTCCTTTGTAAGGAGCCTTCTGGCTGTCCTTCGTCCAAGAAAGATTTGTTCATTCTTCTGGTCCCCAAGGTACATTCTTCACCAACACCATGATTCAAAGGCATCAATTCTTCCTCAGTCTTCCTTATTCATTGTCCAGGTTTCACATGCATGTGAGGCAACTGAAAATACCATGGCTTGGGTCAGGTGCAACTTAGTCTTCTTTGCTTTTTAAGACTGTAAAGAGGTCTTCTGTAGTAGATTTGCTGAATGTGATACATCTTTTTATTTCTTGACTACTGCTTCCATGGGTGTTTGTTGTGGATCCAAGGAAAATGAAATTCTTTACAACTTCAATCTTTTCTCCATTTATCATGATGAACTGATCCAGTTGTGAGAAGTTTTGTTTTCTTTATACTAAGGTGTAGTTCATACAGAAGTCTGTAGTCTTTGATCTCCATCAGTAAGTGCTTCAAGTTCTCTTCGCTTTCAGCAGGGAGGTTGTGCCTCCTGTGTATTACAAGTTGTTAATGAGTCTTCTTCCAATTCTGATGCTGTGTTCTTCTTCATATAATCTAGCTTCTCGGATTATCTGCTCAGTATACAGACTGAGTAAATATGGTGAAAGGATACAACCTGACACACACCTTTCCTGATTTTAAAGTACATAGTATTCCCTCATTCTGTTTGAACAACTGCCTCTTGGTCTATGTACAGGTAATTGAGCACAATCAAATGTTCTGGAATTCACATTCTTCACAATGTTATCCATAACTTGTTAAGATCCACACAGTCAAATGTCTTTGCACAGTCAACAAAACACAGGTAAACATCTTCTGCTATTCTCTGCTTTTAGCTGAGATCCAAATGACATTAGCAATGATATCCCTTGTTCCATGTCTTCTTCTGAGTCTGGCTTCAATTTCTGGCAGTTGCCTGTTGATGTACCGTTGCAGTCATTTTTGAATTATCTTTAGCAAAATTTTACTTGGGTGTGACATTAATATTGTTGGATAATTTCTGTTTTCCATTGCATCATCTTTCTTTGGAATGGACACATATATTGACCTCTTCCAGTCAGTTGGCCAGGCAGCTGTCTTCCAAATTTCTTGGCATACTTGAGTAAGCACTTCCAGTGTTGCATCCATTTGTTGAAACATCTCAGTTGGTATTCTGACAATTCCTGGAGGCTTGTTTTTCACAATACTTTCAGTGCAGCTTAGACTTCTTCCTGCAATACCACCAGTTCTTGATCACACACTGCCTCTTGGAATGGTTGAAAGTCAACCAATTCTTTTTGGTACAGTGACTCTATGTCATCTTCTTTTGTAGCTTCCTGCATCATTCAATATTTTGCCCACTGAATTTTTTATTCAGTTCTTTCAGCTTGAGAAATACCAAGGGTGTTCTTCCTTTTTGATTTTCTAACTCCAGGTCTTTGCACATTTCATTATACTTTGTTTTCTCAAACTGCCCTTTGAAATCTTCTTCTGTTCAGCTTGTTTACATCATTATTTCTTCCATTTGCTTTAGATGCTATCCATTCAAAAAGGAAGTTTCAGAGTCTATTCTGACATTCCTTTTGGTCTTTTCTTTCTTTCATGTCTTTCTAATGACTGTTTGCTTTCTTCATCTATGATGTCCTTGATGTCTTCATCTATGATGTCCTTGATGTCATCCACAACTCATCTGGTCTTTGGTCATTAGTATTCAATGTGTCAAATCTGTTCTCGAGATGTCTCTAAATTCAAGTGGGACATACTCAAGGTTGTACTTTGGCTCTCATGAACTTGTTTTTTTTTTCAGCTTCAACTCGAACTTGCATATGAGCTATTGATGGTCCATTCCAATGATATCGAACTTCTCCACTATCTCTTTCCACAGTTGTGTGTCGATTTGTTTCCTGTGTATTCTATCTGGTGAGGTTCATGTATATGGTTGCCATTTTTTCCCCTTTTAGGTTATTTAGTTAGTATGAATTTCTCAAAGTGGTATCACTGGATCAAAAATTATAATCATCTTTATGGTTCTTGATGTTTATCATTAAATTTATTTTAGAATTAAAAAATATGGCTGTGCTTTTTCAAACCTAACAATAGTTTAGCTTAATTAGTAGAATTTCTGCCTTGACCACTGTGCTCTTTTGAAGAACCATCTTTATGGAATCACATTGACAACAGCAACTCGAGAGGTTAGATAGAAAGCTTAGGGGGTAGTAAGCTTCTATTAACAGTAGAAGAAGAATTTGGAAAAGGACGGTCATCAGTGTCACCGAGTCGTACATGTAGAAACTTGAATTGGTGTATGTTTTGCTGTATATATTTTCAACCACAAAAAGGAAAACTTATTAAAACACAAATTATTTTTAAAAGTATGACTATAAAAAATATAAAAATACAGAAAAGTAGAAAGAGGAAACCAATTCCCAAAGGCACCCCAAGAAACATTTTGATGTACTGAATTACTTTCTAGCTGAGTTGACACGGGAAGAATAATTTCCAGTGATTGATTGCATGGACTCTGAGTCAGACACTCTGGATTCAGATGTCAGGTCCACCACTTACTAGCTGTGCCACGTTGGGCAGGACATTTAAATGTCCTTAGTCACCATCCTTGGATGTGTATGACAGTTTCAAGGCCGACTCTCAACCACTCAGTTTTATGTGGTTTTGGACTTTTGTAGGCTAAAAAGTGAAACAAGCATAATCTATAACAGTAGATTGTTTCATATTCTCTAGCATTTAAAGGTTTGAATACATATGAGCTGGTGTCAAATTTATTTTCCTTTTAAAATGGAGAGCCAGCTTAGGAGAATCTTAATTGGGTGGCTGGGAGTGGGGCCAGGAGAGCCTAGCCACAGAGGCTGAGGACCTGGGTGGGTGGTGGGAAGACGGGCTCGACCATCAACACACTGCATGGCACTGGCCAAGCCAGCTAGCTGCTCCTGACTCAGCTTCCTGGGGTGTCTGTAGTGATCAACGATGGCACTAGCACCGGATGTGACTCAAGCAGATGTTCAGGAAGGTTCTGTGGGAACCGGGCCCCGGGGCAGGGCAGCTCGGTCTCTCTGTGTGAGCTGATTCTGAACTCATTGCTGCTAACGGGAAACACTTCTGAGTTCATGAGCTCTGGAAACACCCCATTCTGAGGCTGGAGTCAGCAGCACCCTGTGAGGAGGCTGTGAGATATTCTGGAGTGATTAAAGCGATTGCAGATCCTTCAAAAAGGGAACTCTGGGATTCCCTGCACAATCTCCAGCCAGGTACCTCATCCCCAGGGATAAAATGTACTTCCTGCCCAGCAGAAACCAGTCAGAAGCAGATGCAAGAAGAGATCTCTTACTCTCTTTAGGATGAAAGACTTGGCATTCTTGTGTTCGGATCCTCTACAGGGCTTTATTGGACTCTCAAGGGCCTGGTCTGCAGAAGAATGGAGAAAGAGGGATACGGTGTGAGGAAGCCCAGGGTCTGTTCATGGCTCGGTGGCCATGAGCACGAGAATTTCTCATTAGGCCTGAGCTCTCAAAGGATGTTCATACTACCCATCTCAGTGGATCTTAATGATGTGACTGACTTACTAAGATTCCACTCTTTACTGGATTATACTGCTGGGTCAGAGAAACAACAAGGAGGAGTAGACACAGCAGGACTTTTGGGGTCAGACCTGGGTTCAAACTCAGGACCTATCCCAGACAAGCTGTGTGACTTTAAGCAAGTTACTCTGCCCTACGCCCAACATCTGTTTCCTCACCTATAAAATATGTTCAGTGATACCTCCCACCAGGGATGTTTAATGAGGCAACGTGTGGGAAAGCATCTGGTGTAATGTGGGCACACAGTCTATGATGTCATTGTCCTTCCCTCCTTCCTTGTTCAATGTCAAGAAGTCAGATTTAAGACTCCTTCAAAAGAAAAAAAAAAAAATCCACCCTCCTTTTTCTTTTTTAAAGGTTCCTACTCAATTGCATTGTAGAATCTAAACAAAATCCAAACCCCACAAAAATAGCATCAGGCTATAAGAAAAAGCTTTTGCCTCTGTCTTCTGAGACGCTGTGACTTTTCTCTCTTAAAGTCTTCTTCTCTTTCTCAAATTTTTCAATTGCCTTCAAAAACCAAAAAGAAATGGGGCATTAGGGATTACTGCAACTCCCGGAGGAGGGTAGGGTCGGGGACTAGGCCATTTTTCTTGTGCACAAAAGGCTGTCTTCATCTAGTCTGAGTCCCTCTCATGGTCTGGTAACAAAAATGAATAAAGCCAGCCAGATGTTAAGATAATAAATGGCAACCAACACTGCCTCCATATAGGAAACATCGGGGAGTGGTGGAAACTGTGGCAAACTGCAGAATGTGACTCTGGTGGGAGAGCCACTGCATTCCTGCCCCTGGTGACAACTGCCATGTGGAATGTGGGCCCCAGCCCAAAGACTGCTTGGGCCAACGGGAGCAAAACAAACACATGGGAAGCCCAGAACTGGCCCACAGACTGCCAGTGAGGGACCTCTGGAACAGATGTTACTGCTCTGCAGGTTAGAGAGTGAACTGGCCTATGACCATCAGTATAATTGTCCTCCTCATATTTGTCATGTGTGGGAGTCTCTACCATGGGAGTGAGGGGGGCCAAGTGGCTGAGTCTTAAAGCCCTTCCAAATGGGTGTAGTTTGTGGGACTGAGTCTCTGAACAATACATCATGACACTGGTGATCCTGAGTAATGACTTGTGGGTTGGTTGGCACAGCTTTGTTGCTCTTGTTTTGAAATATATCTTGGAGATTTGCAGACTTAGACCTCAGATATCTTAAAACAACAACAACAAAAAAAAAAAAAAACCCACTGCCATCGAGTCGATTCTGACTCATAGAGACTCTCAGTGCGTCTCCAGGGCCATAAATCTTTATAGAAGTAGATTGCTTCACCTTCCTCCTGCAGAGCAGCTGGTGGGTTTGAACCACCAACCCTCTGGTTAGCAGCCAAATGCCCTACTCACTGTGCCACCAGAGCTCCATTCAGCTATCTTATGGGCAATTAAAAATAAAAACCATATATGTGCTGTGGCCAAAACCAAGGTAGCCCAAACAACACTCACATAGGATCCGGGCCAGCATTCTTCTACCTTGTGGGAGTTGTGTTACACAATGGCTACTGGTTTAACCTTTGTAATTCCTGTCTCCCAACAATGGGCTGCGTGTGTATATGTGTGTGTGTGTACTAATCATGGGAGGGCTGTGTTTGTTTGGCTTTATATTTTTTGTACAAGTGAATCAAAGTTAACTTTGAGATGTCAGTTGTGCAAACATGCTTTTAAATAAATGGAGGGCCCCCAGAGCACTGCCACATCTTGATGACTCCAATGGTGTGGATGACATTTTTCTCAGTTGGACCATCAGGCTCCCCCTTCCTTCCCGGAAGCCCTGCCTCAGCTCCAGCTCCCATCACTCACCAGGATGTTGGCCAACGGGTTGGGACTCAGATCTACTTCAGCAATCCTTTGGTTCACCTGGTCCATGGAGCCAATAATGCACGCTTGGGAGGTGGGCCAGCTAAGGAAATTCTTTGGATGGTGATTACGCAGGGCAGGGAGGGACTCACCTGTCCAGGAGAGAGACCCGATCCCTTTCTGCACTGTCTCTCTACTCAATTATTTCCTTTGCAAACATGTCTTCTATCTTGTTTTAAATGAGTTACTTTATAAACTATAAATTAAATTTAGCCATATTATAGACACTTCCTTGGTGGCCCAATGGTTAAGTGCTTGGCTGTGAAGAGAACGGCTGATGGTGGGAACCCACCTAGCGACTCCTTGGGAGAAAGGCCTGGGGATCTTCTCCCGTAAAGATGAACCCCCACAAAAAGACAAACCCATTGCCCTCAAGTCAATTCCAATTCACAATGATCCCCACTGGGTTTCTGAGGTGGTAAATCTTCATGGAAGTAGATTGCTTCATCTTCCTTCCATGGAGATTACAGCCAAGAAAACCCTATGGGGCAGTTCTACTCTGTCATACAGGGTCATTATGAGTTGAAATCATCTTGACAGCATCTAGTAACAACACAGGCACTTTGGAACATAACCAGTAAAACCTGTGACAGCTAGAACCTGTGTAAGGTGGAAACCTGCCAGAGAAGGAAAGCTCAAATATTTCCCACTAATAGAGCTCTGGTGGCATAGTGCCTAAGGTGCTTGACTGCTAACCAGAAGGCTAGCAGTTCAAACCCACCAGTCACTCTTTGGAAGGAAGGTTGGGCAATCTACTTCCGAAGTGATGCTATCTTGGAAACCCAAGGAGGGGTCGTTGTGAGTCGAATTGACTCGACGGCAGTGAGTACTAACAGAGAATGGGCGGGACTTGACAGTGTTTCGTTCTGTTGTTCAATGGGTCACTATGAGTTGGAGGTGACTCAATGGCACCTAACAACAACAATAGAGAACGACAGAAAAGTAATAAGACTGCACCTGTCAAAGGTGGAAAACTTGTGAGACCCAGAAAGACAAAGCAGTCCCATCACTTTCCGGCTCTCACAGGTTGACTATAAAAAGGAAAAAGGATCATCCATAACATTATGACTACTGTTAGGATCTGGGGATATTTCCTTCCAGTACTTTACATACATACAATGCAATACACATACACTTTTTCACATACTATGTCCGTGTAGGTCTATTTTGTTACTCTGACTTCTCATCTACTCATTTTTATGAGCATTTCCCATATGGCTAACTAATCTCCATAATTAAAATGGCATTATAATAACAATCCATCTATTTAGTTGCTATCTATATAATTCTTTGGAAGGTAGAGGGGAAAGGAGATGATGAAAAAAAGAGCTTTTGGCTCTTCTTCCCATTCTTTCAACAAATACTCTCAATGCATTTTTCTTTGCAACTCTGATTATCTTAGTAAAACAAACTCAAGTAAAATAACCCTTTGCAGTCTCTCAAACTATCTTTAGAGGATTGGTAGGGCTTAAATAAGACAGTAACACGTTAATGAATGTATAAAGGAGGAATTAATAATTAATGGATTCCATAAACCAAAAGGAGCTCTGGTGGCATAGTGCCTAAGGCATGTGACTGCTAACCAGAAGGCTGGTGGTTCAAACCCACCAGCCACTCCTCTGAAGGAAGACTGGGCAATATACTTCCATAGAGATACCACCTTGGAAACCCAAGGAGGGGTCACTATGAGTCTGAAACAACTCGACAGCAGTCAGTTTGTTTGTTTTTATAAACCAAAAAACCAACCCACTGCCACTGAGTCGATTCTGACTCCTAGTGACCCTGTAGGACAGAGTAGAACTCTGCCCCATATAGTTTCTAAGGCTGTAAATCTTTATGGAAACAGACTCATCTTTCTCCCAGGGAGTAGTGGTGGGTTTGAACCACTGACCTTTTGGTTATCAGCTGAATGCTTTAACTACTGTGTTACCAGAGCACCTTAATGGAGTCCATGGGTGGTACCAGTGGTTAATGCAGTCAGCTACTAACTGAAAGGCTGGAAGTTCAAGTCCCTCCAGAGGCACCATGAAGGCTTGGTGATCTCCTTCTCCAAATCGGCCACTGAAAACCCTACGGAGCACAGTTTCATCCTGACACAAATGGGGTCACCATGAGTTGGGATTGACTTAATGGGGGGAAAAAATAATGGTCAGTACAGACGTGAGCACAGATGACACCTTATGGCACAACTCAAGGTAGGTGTGCCAGTTCCTATGGCAGGTGTACCACTGGAGGGATACAGGGTGGATTATTCTCTAAATCCTTCCTCACAGCATCCTTCATCACCTTCTGCTCAGCCTGAGAGAGAGACAGGCTCTCCTCCAGTGCGATCATTGGAAAGGCGGTGACATTGACGACATCCATCTTCTTGAAATAAGCCATCGTCCAATTTCTTGGAAGCTGCCAAGCAAAAGATTACACTTTCAAAAATCTCTGCTTTCTCACTTCCTTCTTGTTCATTCAGTCAGCCTCTGACACATTGCAAATAGTATAGAACCTTCCTGGGAAACATGAGTGGAAAAGATAAACCACTCCCACGTGCTAAGTGGGGCCCATGGTAAGGCAGGTATCACATGCTATGAGAGGGATAATGGCTTCTGGAACCCACCTTGAACTGAGAATATCAAGGCATAGATACTTGTTCTTTCTACCTGCATGAGCAGGTAGAAAGTATCCTAGTGAGAGTGAAAACTCTCCTAGTTTAAAAAATGAGTCTAGAATGCATACAAAAGGAGAAATATTGTAGGATTCCATTTATAAGTATCTAGAACAGGCAAATGCAGACAAAAGTTTATTAGTGGAATCTAGAGGCTGGAGTGAGGGGAAAATAAGGAGTTATTGCTTAAGGAGAAACTGTTGGAAATAGATGATGGTGATGGTTACACAAGAAGATGAATGTAATTAACATTAACTTAAAAATGGTTAAAATAGAAATTTTCATGTTATTATCTTTTTTGCCAATTTTTTTTTTTTTAATGAGATTGGAGTGTTGAAAGGCCAGGGCTCCAGACCATCCAGCAAGCCAGTTTCCAAACTAGAAATGAAATAAAATCTCTTTGCCTTTCTGAGTCTGAAATCTAAAGTAAGAGATTTGGATGAGGTGGCCCTAAGACTCATATTGCTGAATCACCAGAATTCTTTTTTTTTTTTCTTTTCTT